CGCTCCGCAAGAGGCTGCCCCTCCATTCTCTGGCAGGAGTTGCCTGGGGCAGCAGAGCAGCTCCTGCAGTTTCAGGTCATCGTGTAATGGAGGCTTCCCATGAATTCCGAATCTGGTCAGTGCCTAGAATACCCTGGTGCCGTACTGACCCACCCCTTTGCTGCTGCTCTGCAGGCTTGTGCTGATCGCCTCTGTGGTTTGGCCAGAGGGGAGCTGGAGGCCTAGCAGGAGCGTAGGGGGCTCTTGGCACCCAGCATAGGGAAGGAGGTGCCTGAGGGGAGATGTGGGGAACTGACTAACGACTGGTTCCTGTCCCTGGCTTCTCCCCATTGCTAGCCCAGAATCGCAGACAGGCAGGCACTGGGATGGCTCTGCTAATGTTGTCCACAGTGAAAAAGGAAAAGCCTTGAACATATTTTATTTTAAACGTTATTTGTAACTCGGACAGAGAAGTTCTTTTCTCAACATCTCTTCCCCATTTGTTCAAATAGTTTTACTTTGTATATTTGACAGAACACCATCTAAACAATTTCACTTTCTCTCCATCTGCTAAGAACAGTATTTAAATCTCCATGGGGGAGTAGAAAAACCCTTTAACATTTATTTAAAAGGAACTTTAGGTGTGGGAGCTTAAGAATGGATTCCTATAAAAATCAGTCAGGCACACACTCATGTTGAATTTCTTGAAACTAATTATATGCATTGTCATCGGTAGGTCCCAGTGTTAACGCCCACAAGCTGAAGGAAACAGTCAATACCCCTGAGTCTTGTCTGTAGACTGGACACTAGTTGCATTTAGTCAGTAGTTGGAAGGTTGTCAGCACAAAAACGGGGTTTTTTAAAATGTAGGTTTAATTTTATAGTAATTCTAAAGCCAGAGCCTCAGAATTGCTGACCACGAGACCCTCACTATACTGTGCTGCATGTTTAGGGGCTGTGTCTTTACCAACCCTCTATGAAGGAGCAAAGCAACTAACCTTCTTGCATTTTGACCCATTTTTTCAGACACTCCCTGAATTACACCACCATTGAAATGAATGACCGCAGCCAGATGGCAGCAGACTTCTAACTCTTCCAGGAAAAACTTCATTGGCCAGATCCGTTATCCTAGGAGTGGGTGGGCGTGCATCTCATGGTGAAGTGGTGCACAAGCTCTGTTCTGCACCAGGACTGTTGCACAGACCCACTCTCCCGTCAGAATGTCCCTTTAAATTTAAAGTGCCTTGGTTATTTTTAAAACAGACTCGTCTGCAGCAGAGTAAAAGATTTAAGAAATGGGCTCTGAGGATTTCTTCTTGCCAGACAGAGAGCTTGGAAGGCCTGGAGCTGTGGCAGGATGGCTGTGCCCGCTATGAATGGGGTGAGCAGAAAGCAAGTTTGTTCCCTAGCCTTCTCCCAAGACCAATGGTTGGTAAATTAAGTGGTGGCGGCTTGCAGAGCTGCAGGAATTGATGCAGGCTCTGGTCAGCTGGGGCTAAGACTATTGCAAGGACAGACTGGCTTACCCTGAAAGTTGAGTCCAGTTCTTGTTCAGCTTGATTGGTGCAATACATGTGAGTAAAATTGCTATTCCAGTGGATAAACAACCTTCCTGGACCCTTTCCATTCCAGTCCCAGGTTAGATGCTCTAGGCTAGGGTGGGGAACCCTTTTTGAGTAGAGGGCCGCTGATCCCCAGGCAAGTAGATCTTGTGTGCTCCAGCCCCATGGTGAGATCAGGGGGGAGCGCAGAGCGCCAGCACAGGTTCCCCAATTCTGGGTGGGGACCCTGAGCCTCAAGAACCAGATCCAGGCAAGCCGGGACCCACTGGCTCCCCACCTCTGCTCTAGGCCTTTCAAAGGCCCGGCCACACTGATGACGGGGGGAACAGGGTTACAAGCCTCAAGGGGTTAACATGAAGAGGGGATGGTTTTGCATGTGATTAATACATAAAGTTTGCTTCAAAGGTGAGCCAGGTAGAACTTCAGTGGTTGCGAATCTGTTATTTCTGCCCCACGAGGGCCTGGCTGGACTGTGTCTAGCCCCTAACCTAAATGCCTCAAGCAACGTCTTCAGTGCTGAACAATGCGAGAGAGGCCTGAAGCTCCAGGAGGCAGCAGGGCAGCTGCTTGGTGCGGGGGGAGGAGGATGGCGATGCAGCAGATTTCCTCTGGTCCTTCTCAGGTGAAATGGGATCTTCTGCCTCTGCCCAGGGAAGAACTCAGAACCAGACAGCTGGGGCTCCCTGACCGTCTGCAGATGTGCCGGGCTCCTCAGCCAGCTACAGCTCAAACACTCTCAGAGGCTTCAACAAGGGCCGGGAGCTACCGTATTTCATACTCATCTGCTGCGCTCACACAACCCTGTCAGAATTCTCACCCCGCGATGCACCCGCCCGGCTCTGTGCAACAGTCCCACTCCACCTCCTGTGATGTACCCCTCGGCCCCGCCCCAGGCCACCTTCGGTACCCCTCCAGGCCACCTTCCGTATCCCTCAGCCCCGCCCCAGGCCACCTTCCGTATCCCTCAGCCCCACCCCAGGCCACCTTCCGTATCCCTCAGCCCCGCCCCAGGCCACCTTCCGTATCCCTCAGCCCCACCCCAGGCCACCTTCCGTATCCCTCAGCCCCGCCCCAGGCCACCTTCCGTATCCCTCAGCCCCACCCCAGGCCACCTTCCGTATCCCTCAGCCCCGCCCCAGGCCACCTTCCGTATCCCTCAGCCCCACCCCAGGCCACCTTCCGTATCCCTCAGCCCCGCCCCAGGCCACCTTCCGTATCCCTCAGCCCCACCCCAGGCCACCTTCCGTATCCCTCAGCCCCGCCCCAGGCCACCTTCCCCCTCCCCCCCCCCCGCCCCAGGCCACCTTCCGTATCCCTCAGCCCCGCCCCAGGCCACCTTCCGTATCCCTCAGCCCCGCCCCAGGCCACCTTCCGTATCCCTCAGCCCCGTTTTATAATTTATACAGCACACAGCAAGAATGGAAAGGTCACCTTCCCAGCAGCAAAGATGAACTGCTGTGTAAATTAATGTGCTAACAATACCTGGGTGTCAGCAGCAAAAAAACAAAATGAAACAAAAGATACTAGAGGGGAAAGCTGAGCTAAGAAAGGGTCAGATGATGTAATAATTTCCTAAATTGCCTTCTATTGCATTTTTGTGGTCAGGAGAATTGTCTCTCAGCCCTGCCCCAGGCCACCTTCTGTATCCCTGATCCCCGTCCCTCAGCCCCGCCATCTTCTATACCCCACGCCATCTTCTGTACCCCTCAGCCCCCCCCACGCCACCTTCCCTTGAGTTCCCTGGGGTCAGGGAAAGAACGTGGTTCCCCGTGGTTCCCTTGGGAGAAGAACATGGCTCCCCTTGGGTCCCCTGGAGTTGTGGGAAGAACATGAGTCCTGCTAGTCAAACTATATATGGCTGCATCAGTGATTTTTGCTCATTAGCATTGTTACGTACAGCACCTGCTTGCTCCCAGTGCTCTTGGCATGGTTTCTCTAGACCAATACTCTCCACGCACTATTGTTTAAAGCGCTCCTGACTTTCAAAGGTCAGCCCTCGGCCTGGCCCACGTACACTAGGATGCCAGCCTGGAGCTGTCGGGGCAGGGTTCAGATCTTGTGCCCTGCTTGCTGGAATTGGTCAAATTGCACCCCAAGAGCTATGGCTTAAAACCTAATCAATGTTTCTGCAGCTGCTTATGTTACTCACTGGTAGGGAACTACGCTGGCTGCAGGACGCCTGGTTGCCTGGCTCCCCTTTGTCATCACTAGAGGGCTGGGCGGACGCAGTTTGTAGCCGCATCTGTATCTGGGCCGTGGAGACCCCCACCCACCTCTGCAGGGCTCCAGTAAACCTCACTGCGAGCTGGCAGGTGACAGCTCCCACACGCTGCCCATGCCTCCTCCAGCTCTCACTGGAGAGACCAGGTCGCTGTGAGACGCTCCCTGCACCCAGCTTCTCCTCTCAGCAGAATTCCAAGGTCCACCGACCTCAAGGGGCCTCTTTCCAGGGACGTGGGTGGGCATTGGCTCAGGCCCGGGGCGCTGCTGGGAAGGGCCGGTAGCAGAACAAGCTGCTCCCTGCCCTGAGGCTTCCCTGCTGATGGCAAGGCCCAGCTCCTAAGCTCTGCGTCTTCCACCGAGGCCATAAAAGCGGAGCGCTGAGGTTCTGACCCCAGAGGGGCTGGCGGGGGGGGGGACGAAAGGAGGGGCTACAGGCACTGCTGTCGTCGGCCCAGCTCTGCCTCCCCCACCCTGCGACTGGCTGTTCTGCCGGCTCATCCGGGCCTGCAGGGAGCTCGGATGAGACCGACTGATGCTGTTTTGGGTGAAGTGCTGTTCCACGTTGTAGCTGCCTGACTGGTGACAGCAGGCTCAGCCTGGCAGCGGATGGGACCTGGGGCAGCAGAGCAAGTGGCAGGGGGCACGGATGGACGGCTCCCAGAACGACACGTCGACACTTCGCTGTTAGCAGCACAAAGGGGGTTTCAGCATCATTTCCATCACCCCTCCCCCTGCAGCATTTCTGCAGAGCCACTCAGCGGAGAGGCCAGGCCTGGCTGTCTCTTGGCAAGAGATTAGAGCCACTGCATCACCATAGACATTTCCATGGCAGCCACAAAGCGCACGTCGGCTCTTTTCACGGGTGCTATCCAGCGCAGATTAAGACAAAGAGGTTGTTGTTATTACCAGCTATCCAGGGAAAGCCACAAGCAGAAACGGAGTCGCCTTCACTCTCCTTTCAGAGCAGTCATGGTGTCCCTCTGAGTTTTACTCCCTCCTTTGTGTGAGAGGGGAATAATGTTAATGCAAGCGATGCACAATGGAGTCTGATCCAGAGCTGGTTACAACTAAACAGCAGCCGCCCACTGTGGTGTGCACTAGGCCTGTTCGCTGGAAAGCTGAGGGGGAACCAAAGCCCTCCAGGTACAAGGACTTGTTCCTGTGCTGTACTTAGCTGCAGACCAGCAGGTCAGCCTTTGTCAAACCAGGATCTCGCCCCAGTACCTCCAGCTCTCCTGCTCTTTAGCAGTAGGGGACGAGCAGACTGGCTGACACCCTCTACCACCAGTTCACACCTCCACCTGCTCTAGATGGGGAACAGCTGCTGTGGTCAAGTATCTTCTAGCCAACAAGGCCTGAACTCCAGGGGCAGAGCTGTGCTGCACACTCCCCTTGCTACAGGACTCAGCTGGCGGGTGTGTTGAACTCCAGGGGCAGAGCTATGCTGCACACTCCCCTTGCTACCGGCCTCAGCTGGCAGGTGTGTTGAACTCCAGGGACAGAGCTATGCTGCACACTCCCCTTGCTACCGGCCTCAGCTGGCAGGTGTGTTGAACTCCAGGGACAGAGCTATGCTGCACACTCCCCTTGCTACCGGCCTCAGCTGGCAGGTGTGTTGAACTCCAGGGACAGAGCTATGCTGCACACTCCCCTTGCTACCGGCCTCAGCTGGCAGGTGTGTTGAACTCCAGGGACAGAGCTATGCTGCACACTCCCCTTGCTACCGGCCTCAGCTGGCAGGTGTGTTGAACTCCAGGGACAGAGCTATGCTGCACACTCCCCTTGCTACCGGCCTCAGCTGGCAGGTGTGTTGAACTCCAGGGACAGAGCTATGCTGCACACTCCCCTTGCTACCGGCCTCAGCTGGCAGGTGTGTTGAACTCCAGGGACAGAGCTATGCTGCACACTCCCCTTGCTACCGGCCTCAGCTGGCAGGTGTGTTGAACTCCAGGGACAGAGCTATGCTGCACACTCCCCTTGCTACCGGCCTCAGCTGGCAGGTGTGTTGAACTCCAGGGACAGAGCTATGCTGCACACTCCCCTTGCTACCGGCCTCAGCTGGCAGGTGTGTTGAACTCCAGGGACAGAGCTATGCTGCACACTCCCCTTGCTACCGGCCTCAGCTGGCAGGTGTGTTGAACTCCAGGGACAGAGCTATGCTGCACACTCCCCTTGCTACCGGCCTCAGCTGGCAGGTGTGTTGAACTCCAGGGACAGAGCTATGCTGCACACTCCCCTTGCTACCGGCCTCAGCTGGCAGGTGTGTTGAACTCCAGGGACAGAGCTATGCTGCACACTCCCCTTGCTACCGGCCTCAGCTGGCAGGTGTGTTGAACTCCAGGGACAGAGCTATGCTGCACACTCCCCTTGCTACCGGCCTCAGCTGGCAGGTGTGTTGAACTCCAGGGACAGAGCTATGCTGCACACTCCCCTTGCTACCGGCCTCAGCTGGCAGGTGTGTTGAACTCCAGGGACAGAGCTATGCTGCACACTCCCCTTGCTACCGGCCTCAGCTGGCAGGTGTGTTGAACTCCAGGGACAGAGCTATGCTGCACACTCCCCTTGCTACCGGCCTCAGCTGGCAGGTGTGTTGAACTCCAGGGACAGAGCTATGCTGCACACTCCCCTTGCTACAGGCCTCAGCTGGCTGGTGTGTTGAACTCCAGTTAATCAGCAAGAACTGGCCACAGCACAATAACTCATGGTCCTGACTAGGGCACCAATTCCCAGACTCCCTGCTTGAGCAAGAAACAACCTCTCCCGTCCTTAGCGCAGGAGAAATGCCGGCCTCTCCCCCAGGGCTGGAACCAATGCACCTGGGCAGGGCTCATTCTTCCCCCCAACACATTATGGAGGATTCATCCTGGGGCATCCATTCTGTGGAGACCCCTCTGGAGCACTCTTGTTTCACCAGCGCCTGTATGAGCTATTGCACCAGCATGTAGATTTCCCATGGACCATATCATAGAATAATAGGACTGGAAGGGGCCTCGAGAGGTCATCGAGTCCGGCCCCCCACCCTCAAGGCAGGACCAAACTCCATCTACACCATCCCTGACAGATGTCTATCCAACCTGTTCTTAAATATCTCCAGAGAGGGAGATTCCACCACCTCCCTTGGCAATTTATTCCAATATTTGACCACCCTGACAGTTAGGAATTTTTTCCTAATGTCCAATCTAAACCTCCCCTGCTGCACTTTAAGCCCATTACTCCTTGTCCTGTCCTCAGAAACCAAGAGGAACAAATTTTCACCTTCCTCCTTGTGACACCCTTTTAGATATTTGAAAACCACTATCATGTCCCCCCTTAATCTTCTTTTTTCCAAACTAAACAAGCCCAGTTCATGAAGCCTGGCTTCATAGGTCATGCTCTCTAGACCTTTAATCATTCTTGTCACTCTTCTCTGTACCCTTTCCAATTTCTCCACATCTTTCTTGAAATGTGGCACCCAGAACTGGACACAGTACTCCAGCTGAGGCCTAACTAGTGCAGAGTAGAGCGGCAGAATGACTTCACGAGTTTTGCTTACAACACACCTGTTGATACAACCTAGAATCATATTTGCTTTTTTTGCAACAGCATCACACTGTTGACTCATATTCAACTTGTGGTCCACTATGACCCCTAGATCCCTTTCCGCCATGCTCCTTCCTAGACAGTCGCTTCCCATCTTGTATGTATGGAAC